TTTTTTTTTTTTTTTTTGGTTCATTGAGGGATATAGGTCCTAACCCTCTGTGTTTTATGATCATGATCATGCTCGTAGTACTGCCTTACTAAAAAGCAGAGGCATGCTGGTAGTAGCTGGGCTGCAGTTTTTGTTAGGTTTGCCAGTGTCCAATCCTCCTTATAGACAACGGTATAACCAAAGGTAAGAGACTTCCTGTGTCCCTCAATAGACTTCAAGAAAAGGTTTTTAGGGCGAGTCCAAATGTCACACTTAAGTATGTGGGTTTTAATTTTTTTTTTTTTTTGGCCATCATAATTCTTGTTCCACTCGGGGTTTCTCTTTTCAAAAATACACAACAACGCACACTGAATATTTTGAATTTGTGTATTTTATTTTATGAACCTTTTATTGAGTGTTTGCTCTTCTTGTAGGTGGGTGAGGAGAGATAGTTACTTGCCTGTTGGAAGCCACAATCTAAAGGCAGCTGCAAAAGCAAAACTGGGTTATGACCCAGTTGAGCTGGACCCAGAGGAGATGTGTCGGATGGCGACTGAGGAGCCACAGGTACATTTGTACTAGTATATGAAGTTGTGCAAAACTTATCAGCAACGTCTTTTCAATTCTAGGAATCACCCCTAAGTCGTTTTTCTGTTTGCATATTAAATCAAATAACTACGACCATTAATTCTAGTCTCTGATAATCTGCTCTTTGTCTTTATTAGTTGAACTTTTTCTTATTTTGCAGGTACTAGCCACATACTCTGTGTCTGATGCCGTTGCCACATATTACATGTACATGAAGTATGTCCATCCATTCATCTTTGCTCTCTGCACAATCATCCCTATGGAGCCTGATGAGGTTAGAGACTAATAATAAATGAATGAATAAATCTTAAAGGAGAATTATGGGGAGACTGAAATACACTCATCCTCATAATTGGAGCTGACGTGACACTAAAGCTGTCGCACGTCGGCTCTGTAGATCAAGAACTTAGTGATCACGGAGTTCCCGATCCTCTCCCTGCAGAGAGCAGTGACCGTCGGTCACCACTCCCCGCATGGATTCTCCTCTCTCTATTCCTCCAGTGCTGACTGGAGGGATGGACGAGGGACGGGGCTGTCAATCGGGCAGCAAGTTGGATCCAGACAATTTTGTCTGGATCCATCCCAGCTGCAGCACGGCTCTGCGCTGTCAGCATATTGCAGGCAATAGCCCACTATATGCTGAGTTTTGGGTAACAGGAGGACTTAAGTACATGTCCTGTGATCCTAAAGAGAGCTATGGCAAAAAAAGTTTGGGCTATAGTTCTTTTTTAATGCCTTTAAAAGCTACACTGTATATATGTTTTCCTTTACCGTGAGACTGTCTTTCTGTTAACTTATTTAGAGATTTTTATTGTATCTTTGGTAATATTTGTATGTTTTCCCCAGGTGCTGAGGAAGGGTTCTGGAACCCTCTGTGAGGCATTGTTGATGGTCCAGGCTTACCACGCTAACATAATATTTCCCAATAAACAAGAGACCGTATTCAATAAATTGACTGGTGATGGTCATGTACTGGACTCCGAAACTTATGTGGGTGGACACGTGGAGGCTCTCGAGTCCGGAGTATTCCGCAGTGACATTCCCTGCCGCTTCAAAATGGTAAATATATAGATCTTATTATGACTTCTGCTTACATTTAATTTTTGCCTACTGTTTGCAGTAGGCTTTTTGTGGATCATAAAGATGCATTTAGTTGCTCATTCCTCATTTATTTCCATCCTTCAATCTACCTATTTTAAGTGAAGCGCTTACTTCCACTGTAAATACTAAATAATTAAAACTAAAAGGAATATCCTGTGTTATCAAAAAGGAATGTCATCACTAAGTTACTGCACACCTGTGACTTCCATTGTTTTCTGTTCTGACCAGTAAATTCTAATGAATTAGGAGCTTGTATATCATATATAATTTATTTTTTTTGTCTGGCAACTTTTTTCCGGCTCCCGAGCTTGTTAGCATTGCCTCTGCACTTGCTCCGTCTCCGAAGTCTCTGAAGACTCACTTCTATCAATAGGCCTTTCAGACCAGGCATCAGAAGTACCCATGTTCATTAGTCACTTCGCACCTAATTTGTATCCTCCTAGTTTGAGCCTGTATGTTTGTGGCTGCAGCATGTCTGATTTTAGACATGGAGGGGACAGTCCGGTGGTACCAGCTGTCCCCCTGCACACTGCCCACTAACTGCTTGGCTGTATGCCTGTAGCGTCCAATGAACGGCTTGTTTGTTTGTTTTGCATATATCTACTGCTAGCAAGCAGTAGATACAGTATTTGCAAAAACATTAAAAAAAAAAAGTTTCCAAAAAGGTAAAAACTTACCTGTGTCTCCACCACTCACTCCCATCTGAAGCATCTCCGGCGGCCATGCAGGATGATGGGGCGGGCGCATGCGCTGTAGAGATCTTCGACTTGGAGAAGAGGAGAAACACAGTGGAGGTGAAAGCACGCAGCCGGGAGTGCGAATGTCGGACAGACACCATGGGACATGAGCCTGCGCTGGATCAGAGACCGGCACCAGCGCTGGAGGGATTGCTGAATACAAGTGGAAGGAAGAAGATGATCGGATCAAGCGGCATCATTTAAGGTAAGTCCTTAAGGCAGCAAGATGGGGGGGAGGGTAGATATTTGTGACTTTAATGTCACTTGAACAGCATTTATAGTGTAGTCATGTTGGTCATTAGCTTGGGAGTTCCCTTCTTGAAAGTCTTCCTAACTCTGTCAGGTGTTACCGGCCTGCTTCCCTCTCTGGGGAGGTTTTTACTACAGCCATGCAATAATTGCATCTCTGTCACAGATTGCCCAGCTAATTTCTGACCCTAATTGCAGAGGCAGCAAACATGCCTCCCCGCTGTCAACTCTACCTAATCTGTCTGAAGCCTTGGCTGATTCTGAGTCTTCAGCAGAATCACCGAAGTCATTGACTGACTGAGGAGTTGCCATCTTCTACTATTACTCCTAAATTGAAAGAGACCACTTTGGCACTCTTTGTTCACCACAGCCTAAAAATGGATGATCAGCCTGTCTGTTCTACCAGTCCTGGAAGGCTGAATGAAAAAAAACTGACTGATTTCTCCATCAACACTAACATATTGGATGAACGGATCTCCCACTGTGTCCTTTTGTATTCTGATAGTGGCACCAACTCCTGTCAGAATACCCCAACAGTGCTTGTTGCTATTCGGCTATGGGCGAGTACACTTTTTCCCTAGAAGAGGAATCCTAAGGTGTGGACTTGTTACTTCTCAGAAGCATGCCTTTCACTTCACTAGACCCTCAACCTCCTAGATGAGACCCTCTAAGCTTGGTTTTACTTCCACCCACAAGACCTGGCATTCAAAGGATGCCACCTGATCTTCAGTTAACGTTTTGCCCGGTAGACATTTTGGCCTCTTCTCATTCCAGTTTTGGGTGTAAGGTCCTTTTTAGGTGTCCTTTTTAAGCAGCAAGCAGTTCCCCATTCTTGTTCTTTATTTAGCTGTGTTTGACCATGTTGTCCACCCCCAGTTGGAGTGCTTTTGGACATCCCAAATGTTTTACTTCCTGTGCCCCTTAATTGATGAGAGAGAGAGAAAAATATTTTTTTTTTTATCACCATAAAATCATTTTCTTAAAGTCCATTGAGGGACACAGATCCTACCCCTCTGTGTTACTAAAGTGAAGCATGCTGGTAGTGAGAGGGCCTACAGTTTTTGACAGTGTCCAGTTCTTCTGTAAGGGGCAGTGTAGCCAGAAGGTTTAAAACATCCTGTGTCCCTTAATGGACTCAAAGTACAAAAACACTTTTATCCAGCTTACCATTGTGACGGCTGTGCTTAATTTATTCAAATGATTGTGATTATGCTTTTGTCTCCTGAAGAATCCAGCTGCCTTCGACTTCCTGCTTCAGCGTGTGGAGCTAACACTGCGTCATGCCATTGAAGAGGAAGAGGCAATCCCTCTCGAACAAGTCACTAACTTCCAAGAGGTAGGTACATTAGAGCTCTGACTGTGACGCTCAATGGTTGTTTTCTTCTACCGTCAAATTCATGCTGTCTTTGTCTGTTTTTAAGGTCTGTGATGAAATTAAGAAGAAGCTTACATCTCTAAAGGAGGTTCCAAATAGAATTGAATGCCCCCTTATTTACCATCTTGATGTGGGAGCTATGTATCCCAACATCATCCTCACTAATCGTCTACAGGTTAGTGGAAAGATGGATGTTTTGTTTGTGTTCTTTGAGAGGTAAACTCTGATTTAAAACTCTTCTGTTCTTGGTCTCTGAGAAAAATCAATTATTTAATTACAGCCTTCTGCTATGGTTGATGAAGCGACATGTGCTGCTTGTGACTTCAACAAACCAGGAGCCACCTGTCAGAGGCAAATGACGTGGAAGTGGAGAGGGGAATTTAGTAAGTGATGTGTGTGTTCATGGGCTTAAATTTTCACTGTGCCAAAATGTTGTAGTTAAGTTGCCTTTGTGATTTAGACACCACCAACCATACCACAGCAGTCCTCTGTGTGTTATCCTTGTATAACCATGCCCACACTTTTTATTTTGTCCCCTAGCCCCATGAAACCAGGTAGGATGATGCCACTTTTGGCAAATGCAATAAGGCTTAATAATCTTAATACTAATTGGTGAACTAGACATGAGATTTTACTGAGCTTGGAGCAGTGGCTACATTACACCACACATGGGAACCATGGTTAACAAAAGTAGCCACCCTCCAGAAGACAGGACAGTGTCAGCACCAATTCGGAGATGATTTGAGGATGCACAGCTGAGTGATACATAAAGTACAGTATTGTTAATAGGATACATGAATGCATTTTTGAGATTTAATTCCTGAATACTTTGTTTTTGAAAAATGTTGTGTCTTTACACAGCATGGTCAATTTATAAGCTTTATCATGCCTTGATATATATGTATATTGTATTACTTCTATGCTGTGGAACTCTCTGCCAGATAGGTACCTGTATCTAATCTTCTGAAAATTCATACAATGCAATTAAACATTTTGTCCAATGGTGACGGGCACCTGTGGTTCTTAAGGCACAAAGAGGGTATTCATCCAAATAGATTTGTTTTAGTTTGGCAGGTTGAATGATACAATTTCATTGGATCTGTCCAATCACAGGGTTTTTTTTCCAGATTAAAAATTGTTAATTTTAATGTCTAACTGCGGCCTACAGTAATGTTCTTTGCTAATGAAGATATTGGTCAGGCTTTTATTGATTTCCTTAATAGAAGACATTAGCACTGTCTTGAGGCTGGTGACATAAATATATATCTAAAAAACTGCCCACTGGAGACATGGGTATCAGTGGATAAAGTACTTTTCTTGCCTTACCTTTTCCGTGTGAAAGTGGTTTCAATGTATGCCGACCTAATATAATTTCCGAGTGATTTAGGAAAAAGTTTAAGAATAAAAGCCGTGTTAAATGGAACTTTGAAAAAAAAAACTTAAAACCCTCTTATACTATTTTTTTTTGAATTTTTTTGTTTGTTTTAGGTGTTGCCAGGTTAGCACTATAGTTCTAGTCTAGTCACTGCTAAGCTCCCTGCCTGTTAAGCTGTAGTGGCAAGACATAGCTTTCCTTATTTTTGTGACCTATCTAAACCTAAAAGTTAATTTAAGTTAGCCTCTGCCTCCCTGTTCATTTTATTGATGTAAATCAATTCTTTATTGTGAGCAGCATAGTGATTCTGCCACCTTTTTTAGTATTTGGAGTTTAACTTGCACAAAAAATTTGAGACTCCATCTGTTACTTGCAGTGCCAGCTAGTCGCAGTGAGTATCATCGGATACAGCAGCAGCTAGAATCTGAGAAATTTCCTCCACTCTTCCCCGGAAACCCACCCAGAGCTTTTCATAACCTGAACAGAGAAGAGCAGGCCAAGTATGAAAAGAAGCGACTTGCAGGTGAGCAGAGAGTACAGATGATCCTGTTACACCCAGTTCTGTATATATACTGCAAGAATCGGTGGGTAAATGCTAGTGTGTGTCCTTTTCTTTTCTTCCAGACTATTGCAGAAAAGCCTACAAGAAGATCCATGTAACAAGATTAGAAGATCGCGTAACCACCATTTGCCAGCGGGAGAACTCCTTTTATGTAGATACTGTGCGAGCTTTTAGAGACCGCAGATATGAGTTCAAGGGACTGCACAAGGTGTGTAAGAAAGGCATGCAGTATGTGTACTGTAATAGTTGTTTTTGTACTCCTGCATGCTTTGTAAGAGGGGGGAACCTCACGTCTTATATATTGCTCTACAAAGGTGTGGAAAAAGAAATTGTCTGCTGCGTTTGAGAGTGGAGATGCTGCTGAAGTGAAGAGATGCAAGAACATGGAGATTCTTTATGAATCGCTACAGCTGGCTCACAAGTGCATCCTCAACTCCTTCTATGGATATGTCATGCGAAAAGGGTAGGTTTTAACAAAAGGCAACGATTTGGTTGTGTTTTTTTGTAGATAACAAAAAAAATGTACAGATTTATTTATTTGAACTGGACAATTACTGTGTTGTGACAATAACATCTGTTCTTTTTACAGGGCTCGATGGTATTCTATGGAAATGGCTGGTATTGTGTGTTATACAGGTGCTAATATTATCACCCAGGCTCGAGAGCTGGTTGAACAAATTGGGTGAGTCATGATTAAACATCCCCACCCCCAATCCCTACCGATTTTTGTGTGCGATTCCCATTGATTTTTCTTAAAGAATTATACCTGACCTTTTTTTTTCTGACTTCCTCTTGAACTTCGTTCTGAACAATGCACTTTCTGTGCCTAGGCATTCTTGAGCATCATAGCTGTATATCTACAGTGTAACATAATCAAATCTCAATTATCATTCTGATGTTACTACTGTGCTGCTCCCTGTTCTTGCTGGAAAGGAAGCTGTACTTGGGGACCTGCAGTGCAAGGAGCTCCCTGCTTCTGCGTCATTCATTCTGTGCTTACCTCTACATTTCCTGCTGCTACTTGTATGTTACCACACCAGTCAGCAGCTAGGAGCTTATAGGTACTGCGATTAGTCCTTTGCTTGCCTTTTTTAAGCACAGCTTCCACAGTTCGTGTCCTCTTCGTACCCATAAAGAGTTGGCACACGTTATATTTTAGACTTCCACAGAACACGTGCAAGAAAGGTGCAAAAAACATGCAACTGAAAAAGTAGTGCAAGCTCTGAAGAAAACAGGTGCAAAAAACATGCAGTTGAAAAAGTAGTGCAAGCTCTGAAGAAAACAGGTGCAACACACGTGCAAAAAACATGCAGTTGAAAAAGTAGTGCAAACTCTGAAGAAAACAGGTGCACAACACATGGGCGGGAATTTATCAAAGCACTTCCGCTATTTTTCTATCCTATCTCATTAAATTAAATTCTTTTCCTCCTTATTTGCGCCTCATTTATCAATGCAGCCTAAGCCCTGTTAATAAATGTAATGACATCACAAAATGCCATATGACTCTTCTAGACAGCGGTAACTTACCGAATCCAGCGCAAACTGACTCCCTAGCCGCAACTGTCGCAAATATCCCCACGATTCTGCTATACAGTTCGCTATAAGCTCATGGTCGCTTTAGCGACCATGAACTTATAGCAGAACTATTCCCCTGACTGTCCCTTTTCTTAAAAACCAGTAGAATAAGGTGAGAGGACGGAACCCCTGGCAGGGAGAATCTGGAGCGATGTAAAACACCAGTAACCTCGATCCCTGTATTGGTAAACGGTTTATGCGTTTCTGGGGCACGCTCCCCTTCATCAGAACCAATCGGCTTTAGTGTTTTTATTTTTCCAAGCTTTGAAAGTAGCTAGTGCATACATACAGTGTTTCAACTATTTAAGTTTTGTTGTATGAATTGTTTGTATCCTTTTGTGCAGCTGCATTTGTCAGTCTGCGGCGTATAGATCATCCTGGTTGAGAACTGGGAAATGACTCCTTATAGTTTTTTATTAACCATCAGTTAATTTTGGTCATACTATACAAACTATAGGGGTACATCGTGTTTATTAGCCTTTAACCCCTTCGTGACGGGAGACGTACACTGTACGTCCAGCCACAAAGGGACCAAATAACTTGTCACGTACACTGTACGTGACGAGTTATTTGCTGCTTTAGAGGGCTGTTAACCGCTGAGAATCAGCTTTTAACATTCATTAATGCATGTCGCATCCACACTATGTCCATTCCATGTATGACATTATATTGTGGATTAGCTTGAGCTGAATAGTATTTAGAGATCACTTGCAGCTGCCTTCTCTAGATGAGCCTCCAACACCGACTGGATGATTGGACTAAAAATCCCATGTGACCCTCTCCATCAAAGATTTAAGACAGGATACAGGGGGTATTCATTCATTGGTTCTGATGAAGGGGGCGTGCCCCAGAAACGTGTAAACCATTTATCAATACAGGGATCGAGGTTACTGGTGATTTACATCGCTCCAGATTCTCCCTGCCAGGGGTTCTGTCCTCTCACTTTATTCTACTAGTTTTTATTCTACCGAACTGTTGTAAGTACAGCCATTAGAGCTGCGTGTTTTTACTATTCAATAACATTTTTACACTATGGAGGCGCTCTCTTTTGTTCCTTTTCTCACAGACTGGTGGTCCATCTAATCTGTGGGAGCTGCCTCCATCGTGTTTGCTGTATTTTTACTGCTGGGCTCTTTTTGGATTTGAAGGCGCCGGTGTTTTGCAATATTCCATACAAGTTCTACCACACGCAATTGCTATGATAAATTCCCCCCACACTGTTCGCGCATTCAGGGCCCAACTGCTTTATTTATCTTTTCTGCTTTAAAGACAGTGCCGGTCTGTCTCTTTATTCTGGATTTTCTATATATCACTGTATTGAATAGCTGTAAGAAAGTAAACCGGTCAAGTGTTCCAATAGGTTTAATTTGTGAAGATATTTTGTGAATGTCATGTGATTTTCCCATGTTGTTCATTTAGGAGACCACTTGAGCTGGACACAGATGGGATCTGGTGTGTTTTGCCAAACAGCTTTCCTGAGAACTTTGTTATCAAATCCACAAATGCCAAAAAGCCAAAAGTGACAATATCCTACCCTGGCGCAATGCTCAATATCTTGGTGAAGGTGAGATACTTGTTAATGCAAGATACGTTCAAGTAGAACAGGATACTGGTATACCAAAGAACATGATTGGTCTTTTCTCTTTCAGGAAGGCTTTACAAACCATCAGTACCAGGAACTTGTTGACCCAGCTAATCTGACCTATGTAACTCGCTCTGAGAATAGCATATTCTTTGAGGTTGATGGACCATATCTAGCCATGATACTACCAGCATCCAAAGAGGAAGGGAAAAAGCTGAAGAAGAGGTAAGTTTAATGATTTCCACGTGGTAGAGTGGAGTTACATGTTGTATTTGGGCCAAGCTTGCAACAAATCCCTCATTCTACAGATGCAGCAAAGTCCCTTTAGTGTCTCTTATTGTTTCCCTCTTCCTTGTGATTTAGCAAGAATATTTTCATATGCCTATACATGACCATTAAAGGAGAACTATGAGGTGAGTGAAACTCACTCATCCTCATAGTTCGAGCCGACCTGTGACAATGAAACTGTCACACGTCGGCTCAATAGATCGGGAAGTGAGTGAACGCATACCGTCGCTCGCTCACTTCTCTATCATCTACCTCATCATCCCCGCATGGATTTTCTCTCGCCCCCCCCTGACTGGAGGAATGAACGGGGAAGGGGGCTGACACAGCTGGCTCCGCCTCTATATAGGCAGCTATATACACAGCTGGCTCTGCCTCTATATAGGCAGCTATATATAGACAGCTGGGTGGATCTCGACAGCATTGTCTGGATCCGTCCCAGCTGGGGCAGTCTCAGTTCAGTTACACAAGCACTTTCGGGGCCACACAGGGTCCCTTCACTATGCCTATGAAGGGACCCTGTGTGGCCCCGAAAGCGCTTGTGTAACTGACATGAGTTTGCAATAAAATCTACGAACTTTGATCCTATAAGGATTTGGTGTGCTGGTGACGTTTCTGCAATTATACTGAGCTTTGGGTCGCGGGAGATGGTTAGTATATGTCCTCCCGTGACCCTTTAACTATGGGGAAAAACACTTACCCCATAGTTCTATTTTAAATAGTAAATATGTTTTACCTTTTCTTTAGATATGCAGTTTTTAATGAAGATGGCTCACTTGCTGAGCTCAAAGGTTTTGAGGTGAAACGTCGAGGTGAGCTGCAGCTAATCAAGATATTCCAGTCGTCTGTGTTTGAAGCTTTCTTGAAGGGCAGTACACTAGAAGAAGTTTATGCATCAGTAGCTAAAGTTGCAGATTACTGGCTGGATGTTTTGTATAGCAAGGTAAGTGACACAGGATTCTACTTTCATGAACAATGTTGTTTTAAAATTATAAAAACTTTATCGTGCCTCTTGGTCTTCCAGAAATGCACTCATTTCCTTGACACATCAGTGCTAATGAGTGCCCCCCTGAAGCTTACCAGTTATATATTTACTTGTCTCCTAGTTATATTTTATCTGTATCCCATGCCTCTGTTCAGAAATATATATTAAAGCTATTCATATGTTTACTCAATAAAAAACAGTAAGGTGCAAGTGGGGGCAGTAGGGGCAGGCCAGAGCCAGCAACTGCAGCAGCAGGTTGAGCTTTACAAATTGGAGTGCCCTGGTATTCACAATGCTCCATAGAAAAAAACTTACACAGTGGAATCTGGAAATCTATAATCTCCAATTTCTGTAGACATTATGATAATAGTGGCTACTTTACATGGAATCTCTAACGTTAACACAATAAAAATCATCTTGCGTCTATGAAGAACAGAACATACCAACAACAACTTTCATTGCTCCTCTGCCATATAGCCAGCAGATCTGTTCGGTTATCTTCTCGCCTTAAGTTCCTATTGGCCAATCAATAGGATTGGCCGCAACAATCGTTAAAATAAATATGTGGGAGGAAACAGGCAACCTTCGCCACTACCAGGAAGTGCACAAGCTGTGACTGATTAGAATGGCCCACCACTTGTCGTGCGTTTTTTTAATGCAAATCGCGCGACAAACGCGCATATTCGATACGCCTATGTGTGAACCCAGCCTTAAGGTTACCATCAGTTTATCCAGTAAATCAAATTGTATTTACCACTTTACTGCAAGTATTGATTTAGTTAAGTGGCCAATTTATGATGGGACATACGTGTGTGTGTGTATTTCTTAAGGCTGCCAACATGCCAGACTCAGAGTTGTTTGAGTTGATCTCCGAGAATCGCTCCATGTCCAGGCGCCTAGAGGATTATGGAGAGCAAAAATCCACTTCAATCAGTACTGCTAAACGTCTAGCAGAGTTTTTAGGAGACCAGATGGTGAAGGATGCTGGACTCAGTTGTCGTTATATTATATCTCGCAAACCTGAAGGGTCTCCTGTAACAGAGAGGTGAGGTCTGATTTTAGTTTGTCATGTGGCAGAAATGTACTGCAAAGATGGTTTGACCTCGGTAGTAAGTAATATACCCATACTGATATTTGTACAGCTACTGCTTTAATCCTTGCAACAATACTGAAAATGAGAAACGTAACACTTAAAAAAAAAAAAAAATGTACCCAAATAAAAAGTATTGCCCTTGCATGTTTCTTTAAGAGGAGTGCTTTAACAAAATACCCTATGCATCCTCTGCTTTTTCTTATAAAGACATATACAAGTGCCATGCTTTTTATTTGTGCATATATTAATGTGTCATGGGCATTATGGTGTACACTGAGTGGTTTTGCTTTTTTTGTATACTCTGGCATAACTCACAATAGTTTAGATTTTGATAGAATGTCCTAATTTACCAGACAGAAATGGTTGTGGTTTAAAAATATGGTTAAAACCCGTGCAATGGTTAGTCAAACTGCAATCATATAATTATGGGAGGAACCATTGCAGACATTTGCAGGATCCCCGCCTGTTATTTTAATCTTGGCTTATTGACATAGTCCATTGCTAAAATGGAACCAGGATACAACCAGTAAATTCTGTGAAAACTTGCATTCTGCAAAACTGTTTAAGGCCACTTACTAATGGGCCCTTTGAGTGGGGAAAAAGAACCTAATATCCAGTGCCACCACATAGCAGCCAGTTGCTTGTATGGAAGGTCCGTTTTTCTTGTTTTGTGCCTAAGATACCAGGTTGCTCTGGTATGCAGTCTGGTCCATCTTTGGGCAATCACTGTGATAAGTGGCCTTACTTGGGAGGTAGTGAAAGGTTAGAAACGTTATTGGAATTTGCATACTACAGTCACTGAAGTGGTAAACTAACCTTAAAGTGCCTGATATGTGGTACATCACAGAGCGGGCAAATCTATTTTCTTTTAATACTTCAGATTCAATTCAAATTCAGCAATGGTATCCCGCATACTTCTACCCTCCTGATTGCTATCCTTATTTTCTATTCTTTACTTTGTTTTAGTCTTTTAGTAAGGTGCATACATAATGATGCAAAGGTTTATGTAGTAGATGTTCAATGTTGGTAGCTCAGAGCTCCCAATGTTGGTAGCTCAGAGTAGCAAGCAGAGCTCCCACAGCTGAGGGAGATGCCCCACCCTAAATCCACCACACACAAACCTCCCCTTAAAGCTGGCCATACATCTATAGATTATCTGCAGATTTTCTGTGGTCAAATGGAAAAAGTGCAACAGATTCCTCCATCTACGCTAAACTGTGTGGATGGAGTAATCTCCCACTGGGGCAAGCTTCAGTATCTTGTTTGTTGGGCCTGCTGGCTGTCAAAATACCTGAACAATGCCTGCATCCAATCAGATTGTTCAGGTATTATGAGAGCCAGCGGGGCCGACTAACAAGATACGGCTATTCCTCACTTAACGACAAAATCCGTTCCTACGACCAGGTCGTTAAGCGAGGAACTGTATACAGTACTGTACTGCATTAGTATAGTACTGTATAGTGTTGAAGATGTACTGTAAATCAGTCAATAAAGTATTTACCGAGACTAGCAGCGTAGAACGGAGTACAGCACTGAAGACCGTGAGACGTCGCACTGCCGCTGCAACGTTCCCGCACGTACGGTCGGAGAGCTGGTCGTAAGTGCGAGTGGTCGCAAAGCAGCTAAGTCGTAAAGTGAGGAATATCTGTACTGAAGCTTGGCCCAGTGGGAGATTCCTCCGACCACACAGTTAAGTGTAGATGGAGGAATCTGTTGCACGTTTTCCATCTGACCACAGAAAATCTGCACATAATCTATAAGGTGTATGACCTTTACACTAACCCTGTCTGTCCCCCTCACTAATGTAAACGAAATCTCTTCTTATGTCTACTGCACCAAAACGTATTCATGCCAATAAACCATAGAAAGTATGTGATTGAATTGGCACGGTCAGGTGGTGGTCTGGTTTTTGTGGGTAACCTCAGCAGGCATTTGTTAGCCAATTTTGGAAAATTCTGTAGGTTATGTTTCATGTATTTAATTTCAAGATGTGAGTGTTTTATTTGGTTATTTATTTTTGTCTGCATCTTATTTTCTAGAGCCATTCCACTTGCAATATTTCAAGCTGAGATGGGAGTGAAGAGACATTACCTGCGCAAATGGCTGAAAAATCCATCCCTGCAAGACCTAGACATCCGTACGGTCAGTAAAGACAGAACTCCCTATCTGAATATCTCTGGATCAGTGACTTCTAGTAATGAAAGCATTTGATCAACATTTTTAGTACAGTTTTTGTATAAATCCCCTTCATATCAGATTTTTTTTTCTCTCCTGTTTTGTAGATTCTAGATTGGGATTATTACATTGAGCGACTAGGCAGTGCTATCCAGAAGATCATTACTATTCCTGCAGCATTACAACAGGTATGATCAGCTATCTGAGAAGAGTACTCTGGAGCTTTGTTGTATGCCAAGAAACTTTTTGCAATTATAGTGTGTGTGTATTATATGTATATATAAAAACAATTCTTGTGTATATAATCTGTTTTAGTGTTCATTGAGGCACACAGGTACAGACTGTGAATTTTACTGCCACCACAGGAAGATTTTGTACTGCCAAACAAAAAACAGTGCCAGCCTGGTGATAACCCCTCCAACTTTCTTCATGCCATAGTTATTTGCTAGTATCTCTGCTCTGCTGAGGAAATTCTACCTTTTTATTACTATGTTTTTTTTCCTTCAATCAAGATTCCCTGCAAGCTACTTGAGCTGGTCTCTATATGTGACTATTCACATCAGGGTATACTCAGCAGTAGCTGTATACCTACATTGCATTTGTATGGACATTTCTTTGTGGACAAGCACCCAGGCATTTACCTTATAAATTGAGTGCAAAAGCTACCCTTGGGACGACACTGAATAGCACCTTCAATTCTCATCCTTGGTTTAGGTGAAGAATCCTGTCCCCCGCGTGAGACACCCAGACTGGCTCCATAAGAAGTTGCTTGAGAAGAATGACATCTACAAGCAGAAGAGAATTAATGAATTGTTCACTGTTGAGGGCAAGAAACAGGTTTGTTTTAGTCTATCTCAGAAAACCTATTGTTTTACCGTCTTAAGTGCCTGCATATCAGACTACTCTCCTAAGTCTATGTGCACAGCAGGTATTTGTCATTTTTGAACATTATGCCATTTAACTAGGATCTTCCTTTTTTAAGTGCCAAATACATTTGTATAAAAGCAATTTGCTGCAAAGGAACTTTGAAGGGAAGCCCGTCCACGGTGACTCGGTGACCAGAGTGGTTTCCTCGTCACTGGAGGGACGCGCACGCGCGCATACACACACACACACACACACACACCCACCCACACACACACACACACACACACCCACCCACACACACACACACACACACACCCACCCACACACACACACACACACACACCACACACACACACACACTCTGTAGCAGTCAAGTGATTATCACACACTTCTGTGATTCCTCAAGCTCTCCTGCAAGCTGGAATCCTTGTGTTACCACTTTCTTACTGCTCACACACCAGACACATGACTCACGGTTGTCTGCCAACACCTACAATTTGGCCTCGGACTGGTCTGCTAGGGAACCATACACATGCAGATCCCTCTCTTGCAGATCTGCTAACTTATACACACTGATCTGCAATTTCATACAGGTAAAGCTCTATCTGTCCTCAAAAAAGGGTATAAAATTAATTTCGGTACAGCGTTGCATGACGGAGTAAATGTCAAAGTACCGCAGCGCTGAATACTGAAAAATGGCCTGGATGGGAAGGGGGTTTAACACCGCGGATGTCAACTGGTTAACAGTGAACTAATAAACGAGCGTACAGACATTAGTAACAAGAACCAATCTCTCTAGGAGGATGAATTTGTGGTTTAGTACACAGAAGGCCACTTATTTATTTTATATTTTAATATCCCTAGGCAGGCAGTGCATAAGAAAATATGTACAAATGTAGAAAGAACGAACATGGCATACAAAAAAATGTTGGCTACGGACATAAAATAGAAGTAAAACAGAAAAACTTTACCGTTAGGCAGTACTTTGTCTTGCTGGCGGGAGAACGCCAGAAACCTGTACACGCCGTGTTATTACACACTCTCCCAGACAAATGCCAAATTCATAGTTCCAGCTTCCCAATTTATTGTGATCTGGGTGTGGGACGGCCTCTAGCCCTTTGACCATTTCTGGAGGTGTGACCCTACCTGCTGGGAGGGGAGGTTCTGCTTTCTGAAGTGGCTATAGGTTTTGGCCCCACTGGTTCTGATCACTGGATCGTGGGGTAGGATTTTCGATACCAGCACGTTGGCCTGATCGCAAGCAAGCAGACCCCAAATAACCGTTTTTTCATTTTCTAGAGAATTGTCAACCTGATACCTACAATTGTATATGTGCACGTAGCTTATAAAATGTACTATCAGAAGGAATTAGTTGCATCTCCCTATAACTGATCAGTTAGATTTTATTAAAGAGGAAACCTAATTCCTCTTACCTATAAAGGTGATAACCATTCCCAGTCGGTAAGAAGCCAGAATATACATATATCTTGTCCCCTGCTGTGGTCTGTAGTTGGAAAGTCCAGAGATGTGACCATGCACCTTACAGGGGCATTTAGCAGCTGAGTGTGAATTAGGCCTGAGCTGCCTATGCAAATTACAAAGGTGACGTCTGGTTTCCTGTGAACAACTAATTTATAAAATCTCTGGCGATATCTATTCCCTCTATAAAGTGATATCAGTGCTTATTAATTCCCTCTATACATTGATATCTCACATTCCATTAAAGTTGTATGTTTAAATGTTTGGCATACAGCATAAATATTGCCCGAGTGAAAATAAATTGTACTTGGTTATAGTGACTAATTATCAAAAGAGTGAGGTTGCTATATTCTGTTACTAAAATTTTACTTGTATTCAGATGGCTTGTTTCTTGAATGTTGGCAAAAACATTCATCTAATAACCCAGTAATGATTGGCATTTTATTGTTTGTTTGTCCATTGGGTGGAGCTGTTCTCTAAATGTCTTGAGTGTGAACACGTTTTTGCTTTGGTATCATTACAAATTATGTTAGTAAGCAGATACAGATGGTGGTTATTGTTGTTGCATAGCCTCTGCCTTTACTAAAATGAAAGTAACCTGTATTCTAGACTTCATAGTGGACTTATATTCATTAATATTTAGTCATTTCCTGGCAATGCTTGTTTTTACCCTTTTTTCTGTTTAGGAGCAGTCTCATTAAGTCTTAATTATTAGTTGTGTGGTATTTGAGTTGCATTTGTAAAAATACATGCGCTTCCATTGACAATTTCCATGAAACCATTGTGGTTTAGTAACTACATCGGATGTAACATGCACCCTGTTTCCATGTTTTCTGTTTCCTGTTTTCTTTACTAATGGAATTTTCCTACCAGAGCAAGGATATTAACATGAACTTTAACCCACAGTAAGCTGGAAATTAATCCAGTATAACATTTCTGTGTTGATAAAGACCTTTTTTTGCCAGGAGTCATACTGAAAACACACATGCACACACTGCATTTCACAGTGCAAAGTTTTTTGATGCTAAATTATGCATCTAGATTATGGTGTCAGGTCAGATTTTTTTTTTGTCACCTCGGTCATTGTAATCATTGTCACTTTTTTTTTTTTTCATACAATTCTGGAAGAAAAAAAAGGTTGCAGCAATTTAATATTGTGGTTAAGAAACTAGTGACATTAAATATATGAGTAAAAGTAGCATCAGACTTTCTAAAGAAACTGTTCAAGACGAGTAGATGTCATGTGGGCATGGTTGCTCAGTAGTTGTCTTGAGATTAGACAGGTCTCAAATGTTTTGTAACAGATGAAAGACCAGCCTTGGCTTATATGTTCAGTTCCTTTCTATTTATGCAGTAAAATATTGCTGATTTTTATTATTTTAAGGTTTCAGCTCAGATCCAGGTGATGGATCCCTCTCAGACTCCAGATATTGAGGATATTGGCGTTAGTAAACGCCTTCAGCCTGCCATTCCTATAAGTACAAAAAGGAAACGTATACCAGCAACCGAGGAGAGCCAGGGTGACTCCCAGGATGTGGCACTTACACAGTCTTGGAGAGAAGTCCTGGGTCCCCCTCCTCCTCTGGGTACCACAACAGTGAGTACATTTTTTTTTTTAAACTGTCTTCTTTGTTCTGTTCTGCTTTATTCACATGGTTTTGGTTTCTGGTAGTTGAAAATGTATGTTACCCAGTTTGGTGAAACCTTTCTCCTGTAGGAAGAGAGACTTCTCTGGTTGCGTTACCACAAGAAAAAGTGGGAGCTACAGGCACGTCAGCGCAAAGAGCGTCAGAAGAAGCGTCGTTTAGAGGATGGAGATGCAGCTCCTGGAGCAGGAAGTATAGTCCGGGAAACCCAAGCTGCTGGGTTAGGCAACTTCCTGCGTAGAACGGCTTGCAGCATTCTTGACATGCCCTGGCAGATTGTGCAGGTTTGTAAAATCATGTATTCATTTATTTTTACAATGAAACTGATGCAACATACTAAAAATGTACATGTGATTCTGTTTTTATAAAGATTGGAGATAGTAGCCAACCAGGTATCTTCCGCTTGTGGGCTGTGATTGGCAGCGACTTGCACTGTATCAAGATCAATATACCACGCATTTTCTTTGTAAATCAACGTGTGTCCAAAACCGAGGAGGGGGCAGTGTACAGAAAGGTGAGAATCTCATTGCTTTATCTTGGAATAACTATCAAATCTATCCAGGCTGGGTTAGTGCTGTTTAAAATCTTTTGCAATACTGTATATAGTGCATATTGTAGTAGCAGTGAATGTCTCGAAGTGAGGAATGTTTGTTAGGTTAGTAACCTTTTTATATTTTGGGTTTTTAGATTTAATTTTTTTCATGCAACAGGAAAAACTTTATACATGTTAGTATTGTCACAAGCAGTTATTTCTAGCACTTTGTGATTATACAATAAACTTTTATCTATCCCATCTTCTGCAGGTAAACAGAATCCTACCTCGCTCCAATCCAGTGTACCATCTGTATGAATATTCCGTGCCTGAAGAGATGTACCAGGAGCACATCAATGAAATCAATGCTGACCTGTCTGCCCCTGACATTGAAGGAGTGTATGAGACTCAGGTAGCGGCACACTATGGTTTTTCTGAAGCAGCAGTAACATTTTAACAGCTGCTGCATGCCATGTGCTTGTATGTAAAAACAAATGTTTGACCTAACAGAGATTATCTCTGTTTAGATGGACAAAATGTATATTACAATAAAAATAAAACAAACCTGTTTACTGAACATGACGCTGTACTTATTAATCTGCAATCTGCATACTTAGGTTCCCTTGCTGCTGCGGGCCGTGATCCAACTTGGATGTGTGTGCATGGTGAATAAGCAGATGGTTCGGCACTATTCTGGAAGAGAAACGGACACATTTGAGCTGGATTGCTTGGAAATGAAGTCATTGGCACAGTACAGCTACTTAGAGCCAGGTATTTTACTACATTGTTTATTTAAATATGAACATATTTTAACTATATTGGTAGGGGAGGTTGGCACTGTGGCCTTGTCTCAGCATTGCCTGATCAGTAAGAAGTATTTGTTACTCCCCTGGTTTGTCCTAGCTTCTGTTGCCAAGTGCTCAGGTTACTTGTCACCATCCAAGCACATGATAGTTGCGGTAGGGACATTAAACCTGATCCTTTGGGGGCAGCGGTAGATCTGGTTGGTTTTCTGTAAACCGTAAGCTACCTAAGATTTACGCAGAAGCATTTTTGATTGTGCAACTCATAGGTGGCTGAAATAAACGCCTATATCAAGTGGTCCACAGATATCCTTTACCTCAACTTCTAAATTGTATCTTATTTATGTTTACATGCTAATGCACATGATTGTGTTTTTAATTTTCTTTTCCCAGGAAGTATCCGTCATATTTACTTATACCACAATTCTCAAGGGCACAAAGCACTTTTTGGACTGTTTATACCATCGCAGAGAAAAGCTGCTGTGTTTGTAGTGGACACGGTGAGAGCCTATTGTATCTTTACAAGTAAAACCTGATCTACTTTTTGCTTTTCAAAACTAAAACAAAAGAAAACATTTGGCTAGAGTTCAGTTTTTAGTATGTTGGTGCCTTATATTTTCAAGCATGTTTAACTGCTTCAGGACTGCCTAGCGTAAATAAACTGAACATCCTGAAGCAGTTTTACCAAGATCACGGCTGCTGCAGCAGCATCCATGATCTTGGCACAGTTTTAAACAGCTGGCGATGGGTGTTCACATACTAGAGATCTGGTGGCTATAGAGCCGCCCAATAGCTTGCACTGTGCCGCGGAGTGTAACTCATTTCTCCCCCCAGCCGCTGGCTACCACGGGCTCTCTGCTGTGCCCCGTGTGGGCCTGGGACCGGCATAGTGGGTCTGTCTTCTTTGAGCAGAGGGAGATCAGCACACTTCCGAGCTGCTGACCTCCTCTCTGATCACTTGACCCAGAACCAGAAGGAATGTGTATTACATCACTCCCGGTGTCACTGTGTAATTTCTACAGCTCCTGTAGCCAGGAAAATAAGCTGGTGAAGCAGTCTAATAGACCCTTGATGTCTCCATAAAGAGGACCTGTCAAAGTTCCCCTCTTACATGCAAACGCGTGTCGGGTGCGCCTACATGACGAAAACTACGATTGTGCCCCACCTTTTACATATCGCCGTGAACGTCGGCATGAGAGAAATAATTCTAGGGCCACCAATCACAGTTAATACTAAACTGATGGTAGTAAAAGCTTTTAAAGCGTCACCTATGGTAAATTTTGGGTATTGTAGTTTTTTGCGATTTCACGGGCACGTGCAGTTTTAAGGCTCGAAATGTTTGGTATCTATTTACCCGATGTGACCCCCATCTAAATCCCCATTATATTTTACCAAAAGATTGGGTATTCTGTTTCTGTGCACTACATTTTATTTTATTGTATTTTCTAAAAATACTGATTTGATAAACATTTGTGCAAATACCGTGCAACATAAAAAATTGAAATTAGCATTTTTATTCTACAGGGCCTCTGCTTTTAGAAAATATATAATTGGGGGTTTTAAGCGGGTTTTCTAGTCCAAAATTCAGATTTCATCATGTGTGCCAATATTAAGAAATTGCTTTCTTACAGAAAGTAGTTACACTAAACCCAAGCCATTGTTGGCTTTTGAGGCGCTGTCATTGGTTTGTGGGGGAAGAACAAATCTAAAATCATAGCGGTTGATTTACTAAAGGCAAATGGGCTGTTCACTTTGCAAGGGAATTTGCAATTTGCAGGGGAAGTTTCCATTAGCTTAGTGAATCTTCACTTTGTAAAGAATACCCAATCATGTACAAGGAATTTTTTTTTTTTAAACTGCATTTTTTTTTTCTTGAACATGATTGGGTGATGGAAGTCAGCAGAGCTTCCCCTCATTCAATAAATGAAGGGCAAATTTCCTTGCAAAGTGAACAACCTATTTCCCTTTAGTAAATTAACCCCATTGTCTAATTCCTCTGTGTATGAGGGATCATAAAGGTTTCATGATTGCACAAAAACATTAAAAAAAATCTCCCTGCGGATAAATATTAAGGTAGAGGTGTTTTTGAAGTGTTCATTAATGCAGCTTGTAATTTTGTTCTGCTTATATAGGTTCGAAGTAATCAGATGCCAAACCTTGGCAATATGTATACCAGTGAACATACTGCAATGCAAGAGAAAGTTGATCCTGAGCTTTTACCTCCAGAGAAACATGTGTTTGAGGTTCGAGCAGAGACGGACTTGAAAACTGTCTACAGGGCTATCCAAAGACTGCTTTTAAGCTATAAGGTAAGCAGAATATCTTATAAAAACTGATTGTGATTTAAATATTATATTCTATATTATATATATATATATATA